TGATCTATGAATATTAATGATTTAACTTAGCATATATTAGAATTCTGTAGATGGCATCCACAGGAGCTCTGTAGAGGCTCTTCTCTATCTCACCATCCATGAAATGTAATTCTGTTTCAAGGAAAGAAAAACACAACAAAGCCTCTTTAACTTGTCTATGAGTCTACTTGACTCACGGTTGGCTTTCAGCTGTATAACGTTCCTCCTAGCCTGTTGGAAGCTGAGATGTATCTCCATGTAAGGCCTATAGCTGGCATTTGCAATCAATAGGCTTGATATGTGCTGCCATTATGCCTCTTGAGTGGACACAAGAGAAAAACTGCTTACCACCAAACACCTGCTTTCTCTGTAATTGCATTGAAGGAACTTCTGCTGCTAATGTATGCAAGGGATGTAGAATTAACATCTTCTTTAAACTTTTAATATTATGAGGAGCCAGGAATACAGTTAAGGTTCTGCTTGTGCTCCAAATCATGTAGTAATCTTTGCTCTTCTCAAGGAAAAGCAATAAGTGGAGTGAGCACAGAACAAGTCAGAGGTAGAGAGGTTCTCAAATATACATCCTAATTTGGCAACTAATTGTAGGATTGTCCAGCATGTCATTGCTACCGGCAGTGGTAGTGCAGAGCTCTGTATGCTTAGGATCCTGGACAGATCCTGGGAGCAGCTGCAATTTAAAACAAATTAATGTTTTGGCTGAATGGTGTGGGGAGCAAGGACAGCTGGCAGCTCCCTGAAGGCAGATGAGCTGGGTGCTGAGGGTGACAGGTTAGGAGCAATTACTACATCAATCAGGGGCCTGAAGTTGAGTCAGTACTATCAGGGCCATGATCAGAGACGATGACTCAGATCAGCCTCTGTTCAGTGATTGCCTAGCAAGTCCATGGTGATAAGGTAGGTCCCAGGAAAAGGCAGAAAGTGAAGTCACTGGGCAAGGGTCAAGGATTAAGGAGGTGCAAGACCAGCCACCTGCAATCGTAAAGGGCAAGACCTTCAGCTTAAATGCTGCTTCCAAGGAGAGGAGAGGGGAGCCTACACTGAGATTCCTTCCAGCTATTCCTTCATACCAGGTCTTAGCAATGAACTGGCACTGAGTGTGTAGGAAGCTAAACTCCCACAGCCAGTAGGGCCTGGCGTCAGAATCATGGAATCATAGAATAGTTTGAGTTGGAAGGGACCTTTATAGGTCATCTAGTCCAAAAAGACCCCACAATGACCAGATGTCCAGTGGACATCTTCCACTGGATCAGGTTGTTCAGAGAGCTGTTTAGCCTGACCTGGAATGTTTCCAAGGATAGGGCATCTGTCAGCTCTCTGGACAACCTGTTCCAGTGTTTCACCACTCTCATTGTAAAAAACTTCCTCCTTGTATCTAGTCTGAACTTATCCTCTTTTAGTTAAAACCATTATCCCTTGTTCTATTTCTGCATGTCTCTCCCCATCTTTCCCATAAGCCCCCTTTAGGTATTGAAATGCCACAATAAGTTCTCCTCAGAGCCTTCTCTTCTCCAGGCTGACTAACCCACATTCTCTCAGCCTTTCCTCATAGTGAAGGTTTTCCAACCCTCTGATCATTTATGTGGCTCTCCTCTGCACCTGCTCCAATAGGCTGTTGTCTTTCCTATGCTGAGTACTCCAGAGCTGGATGCAGTATTCTAGGTGAGCTCTCGCTAGAGCAGAGTAGAGGGGCAGGATGTTATACCCTTTAAGCTGGATGCTTAAGAAATAGTATTCCAACTTGTGCCAACTTATTCATGTAAAAGATGGTCTTTACTTCTCCTCACAATACAACAGCCTTTGATTTTGCATGTGTGTGTACGTATAAACATGCACATATGGGATATATTGTAAAGTGTACTTGTTTGGATATATATTTATATTGTTTGTGCCCATATGTTAATATGTGTTACTAATGTTCAGGCTAAATATCAAACTGTATGTTTTCTGTTTTTTTGTTTGTTTTTTTTTGTTTTTTTTTTTTGTTTCATTTTATTTTGGTGCCTTTAACAAATGTGAGGAAAGCTTCTCTAGAAGAAAATCAAAATGAGACTAAAGTAGCCTTACCTAGGTGCAAAATTGATAATGCAGCAAAAAGAAAAACCTGAAAAAAATCCCTTATTAAAATCTAATAGCACACTGCAGGTGGTCACAACCATATCCGTGTAAATCATAGCAGACTAATGATCTGATCCTGTTCCCTTATTTAGGCAGTTGTCATTCCAAACCCCTTATCGCCCACAAATGTCTGCCTATCGCTCTGTCTAATCTTAGTCAATGTTCAGCAGTGAGTCATATGCATTAGTCATGTAGGTATGCATAAGTGTGATCATCAACAAACAGATTGTATGAAACATAAGGATTAATGTATGGAAAGGCAGAACTTTGATGTTGGAGCTATTCCTTGCCTTGGAAAAGGGACATTGTTCCTCCTAATGAGTTACCAACCTGTTAAAGGCTTAGGCAGTTCTGGGAATAGTCATTAACAATCTGTCTGGGCAGGGAGACAGTTTGGAGGAGGCCCAGGAAATATTAGCATATCCAAAGCAAGAAATAGTGCTCTGTTGCTTCAGTAAAGGAAGGTTCCAACCCTTCCTAACTAGGTTCGTGTGTGCTGGAGAGAAGGTGGGGACCCATCTGGTGTGTTTGCACCTGAGTAGTCTCAATGGGGGATTTGGTCAATAAAAGATAAAAGGTCTAGCCCTGAAGTCTGGGTTTCACAAAGCTGAGAATTGTATGCCAGTCTGTTAGAGCTAATTGATGTGCAAAGTAGAGGTGATTCTCCTACCTTCTCTGTAAATTCAGAGGATGGAAGAGGATTTTTTTGCAGGGGGCAGGGACCAAGGATAGATGGACAGAGACCCACAAGATAACTACATTCAAATTGCAAGGCTGTTGCAGGAATCTGAGAGGTAGAAGTGACTTGAGGTGAGATATGTAGGAGTGTGCCTGAGCATCAGGAATACGAAGAGTCTGGAACAGCAATGCTAGAGGGAGAAAGTAATTTAAAGTAAGTAAAACTTTGACATTTATCTGGTCTCATAGTGGTTTTGCTCTGCCACTGCCAGTTACAAAATCTAGAACTAAGGAAGATATTTGAGCTGAGAACATCCTGTTATGAAATTTAATAAGTACTGCTAGTACTATTTCATCCAGAAATGCTTCCACTTACTGTGAAAGAATTACATTCTCTGCCTCCTCTCTCTCCCCCTCTTTTTCCAACAAACTTCAGAGTCATCTGTCCACGTTTTTGTTCAGGAATCTTAATGTGTGAGCTACAGTTGGGAATTGCATCTTAATATGATTCTGATTTGTATTAACATATCTGACCATCATGAGAATGAAAGGAGGACAGTATGGGATTGTTCCAACACCTCTATTTTATTTACATTTTCCCATTTCCTGTTTTCTTAAGCAATATCTAAAACTCTCATAAAAGTCTAAAGCAAGTAACTGTTTAGATGCCAAGAAAAAAAATTGTATTCCTGTTTATCACAAGGATATAAAGCATAATGTTTTAATTGCAGGCAAGAGAGCATAGCTGGAAGCATCAGCCAGAATAGTACTGTCAGAACTATTTCTGCCTCTAAACGGTTGGCTTTGAGCAGAACACCAAAGATGACAAAACTCAGGAATCATTTTATGGGGCTGCTGATTCTGAAAGTAAGATACCAAACATCTGTTTCTGGCTTGTTAGCTTGTAAGTTACCTCTATGTGGGGAGAAAGATGTTTGCTTGTTGTATTTTTCCTTACAGCTTTACCACAAAGTTTTACTGAGTTTCCTTTTTTATGCTTGATACCTATTTATACACAAAGCTGTCTTGGAAATCTGATGTTTTGTGTCTGGATCTGCTGCCTTAATGAGAGTATGGTTCAGTATCTCAGTGATGCTTTCACCCATTCTCCACCCTGCAGTCAAAGAGGGCACTCCTTTAATACTCCTTTCCCTTTTCCAAAATTTGCTGGCAGAGTTCTGGATCAATTTATTGAAGGACAAAGAACCATGACATATGTTATCCAAATAACACATGCTGCATCAGACAGATTGTCCCTAAGGGATGTCTTGGTGAAGACACCCAGGCTCTGTTTGGCCTGTAAGCCCCAAGGGTACACCCAGATTCCTTGAGTTATGTCCATGTTGCACACCAGATAGGAGCTTTGTGCCAGACCTGTTTCATAGACCTGTGCAGAGTTGTCTTAGGAGGCTTTTCTAACACTTCTGTGTCATGCCTGTCTGTTCAGTGAGGAGCCTGATCACCTTCCAAAATGCCTGATACAGAGCACCTGACCTATTGAGGTGCTGCCGTCTTCACATCATTTTCACTGCTGCTTGCTGTAACAGAATATGAGAAAACTGGAGAGTCCAGTAAACACAGATGGGAAGAAAGATTAAACCAATTGTGAGGCCAGCTGCCTAAATTATCACTACCCAACGTTTGCTGGACATAATATGAACTGTGAAGGATATCACTCTCATGCTTCAGGGCTTTATCAAACATGAAGGGTCCAGATGCTGGAGCTAAATTACCTGGTAATGTTTTTAACTCCTGTGTCCTTTTGGAACAACAAAGGACCTTCTCCTTTCTGTGTACCGAAGGTACAACTGAAGGGTGCTACCCTTACACTTGCCAGTTTTTTTTCCCCCATCCTATCCTGCTAAGTCCCATTGTCCTTCTGTTTCTCCTCCAACTTTTCTCAGCATGTTTAACAGGTGACCCTTCTCTTATTAGAGGGTATCCTGAATGTAGGATATGGAAGGAAGTTTTTCTTATTGAAATAACTAAAGAGGGAGAAAATTTAGAGTTTTCTGTCAGAGCTCAGACTCGGGTGCTTCCTACTAAGTTTAATCTCCTAAAAATCCTTAGAACTAAACAAGATACTGGGCGTCTAACACATATGCCCATGCCCTAAATCTCTAAATGTGGCCCACAGTTTTAGAAAAGTCCCTAATTGCTTATTGTGAAACAAGTAAACTTTTTTTTTTTTTTCTTCTTCTGAACAGGAAATGTGATCAGAATAAAGAATATGGTGTTCCCAAAAAGCAGAACTTTTTTTTCTTTTCTTCATGGGACAACTTTCCCTAGCCTCTGCTTGTTTGAATGCCTGTAATTCGCTTAAAGGAGCAAGAAACACCAGCCCACCACTAACAAAATGAAGTCTTATGTAAGGGTAAGCTTTTTCAGCTTACTTCAAAGGATATCCACTGAATTTGTGGAGGTTGCTTATTTTCTGTGGGGGACGATATTGTCCTTTAATTAGGCTTTTCAAATGTAAATTCCAAGCAGTGAAACATTTTAAGGATAAAAGCGTTTGTTTGTGGCATAATGCCTCAAAGTATCAACAAATCTGAGTCTGTAATTTCCATATGTTTTGATTACTTCCTATAAGAAGAGGCTTCTTGCAAAGCAAAACTTTTAGCTCCCCCCCTTTTTTTTTTCTTGTTAACACTCTTGCTGCATCTACTCTAAACTTACACCTGGTACCCATACTCTCTTGCAGCCGACATATGACTGTTTGAGTGGGAACAAAACCACTTTGACAGATGGGCATATATTCAGGGATGCCAAACAACCAGTGCCTGCACTAACTTTGAATACTAACAGGCCATTCATAGCCACTAGTGGCAGAACAACAGCCTATTCACAGCTCCAGGTCATTAACAGAGAAGGGGGAGAGCAGAACATGTAGTCAAATTAATAAACCTGAAGATGATGTCGTTGGTTATAATGCTATAAAATTAGATAATAAATTAGAATAAATTGCCTAACGTCTGAATTTAGAGAACCGTGTTAGATAATGCATAGAAGGAAATCGTACATCTTCAGTGTAAGCAGCTCTCTATATGGCCAGCTGCTGAGAAACTTTGAAAGAAATCCAAAAGAAATCCAAAATAAGTTATTTGTCTAGCCTTTTATAAATAGCTTTTTTGGCTGCAGCAGTGAGGTTTTGTAGCTTACTCAAATCATCTTCAGAAGTGATCCCCAGTACTGGACCATTCCTACTGATCAGCTATTCATGCAGACATATTCTGGCAATATTTTTTAGGGGAGGAGACAGGCTCTCTGGTCTTCCTCAGTTGCTTTCTAGAGCTGCCAGTGCAATGAACCAGGTATGCAGCAGCAGTGTTCTGCAGCTGCTGCATTAGTTCCACATCACCTTTCAAAGAAAGATTTTTGAAATGAAAGAAATTACATAGAAGATAAGTTGCCAAGTAGAAAGAAGCAGTTCAGCTGGCCCATGTTCATGTACTCATCACATGTTCTTCTGGGGATACAGGCTTGCAACCTGTGAATAAACTACCCCTGCTCCGGTGAACTACACACTACTGGCTTTTGTACACTGCACTCTGCAAGGATTTGTTCCACCCCCCCCCCCCCCCCTTTTTTTATTTTGCTTACAAGGAAAGCCTGAGACCTTGAGGGATGACAGTGTCTATCTCCTAATTTTTAATAATTAATTTCTAGGCAGAGATATCAAACCTGTTGTTAGGGGCTTTGAGTAAAAAAACTTGGGGGAAAAAATTTGGAAGGGAAAAGACTTTTCATTTAGGGCTTATTAATGTGGCCAGAATTGCACATGGGTCTTTGTGCTTGGTGTTTTCTCTTGGCTAGCTTCAGGCTTTCAAAAACATTTACTGAAAAGAAAACACTAGGCTCAGGGGCTTAGATGGAATTTGGGACATCTGAGTAGCTCTCAGAGTGCATAAAATAAGCTGGCTTTTATCTGGACTAAGGTTGTTGACTCTTTTGGGGCATGATTGTTTAGAATTTAATTTACAGTTTTGGCTACATGGTACAGATTTCATTTAACTGTCCCTTCAGGCACATACAGAAATTTGTTTATGAGTGAGATTTTTCCAGCCCAACTGTAGCTTTGTTACCAGGGCCTAAGGGGTGAATAACACTTCCTGGCCTTCTACAGCTCTAAACTTAGAATTTTTTAATGATGACCTCCTGTTGTGGCTCTTTCCTCCAAGTTTCCTGTTACATTTTTTCTATGCACATGTTTTTTCAATTTGGAAGAAGCATATACTTTGGATTAATGAAAGGAACAGAAAAAGAAATTCCCCTTCTGAAAGAGAAAGCATTTTCCTCAGATATTGTTCTCTCTTTAACATTCACATTAATCCACATGTGGTGGTTTTGGCCACACTGACTTGACATGTGGAAGCAGCACTTGATTTAGAAGTTGCTATGGAAAAAGAATAGAACTAAAATGTCTCTATTCTGTTTTAAAAGGTATTTATGATTAATTTCCAAGATAGCAGCATAGATCATTAGAACCTTGTTTTTAGGAATAAAGTGCCAGTTCTGGTCATAGTCATAACTGATTCAACAGGCTTGAGTGGATGGAGATTTTGTCTTGTTTGGAAACTGGAGAGATCAGATTCGTTACTGTACTCTGCTAAAAGAGTGCAACTTTTTTCTAAAATCTTTCTCTATATTACAGAATCATTGAGATTGGAAAAACATGTACATGTAGAAACATATGTAGAAACATATAATTACTATAAGAATAGACAAATGTACCCTGGTGGGATTTTTTTTCTGGTCCCTGATCTGATAAATATTTTTATGTATCTAAATACATAATAGTTTCAGGAGAGAAACCAACCCAGCCTAGAGAGCTCTTGCAAGCACAGGTGAGCTATGGACCACACTACATGTCTTTTTTAGCAAAACAGCTTTTTGCAGTTCTGTTCCTTTCTGCCTGACCAGGGAAAGGCAGGAAACACAGGCCCATGAGTGCTACAGAGCAGCAGCAACATGTGCTCATTTCTGCCCTGTTGCTTGTGACAGGAGCAGGAGGCATGATGTTTGTGGTGGGTGCATGCAAACGTAGGACATCCTGCTCATTTCAGCTGTGTTCAAATCCAAAGTGGAGAATGTGAGAGGCTGCTTTCTGCTTGTAGCCCTGACAGGCAAGCCCTATACTGGATTTTCTGATGCATGTAACACATATTCTGGCCATGGCCCATGGGAATTACAGATGGACTTTAAGGGATAGATTGAATCATGGAAGTCATATGACCTGATCAGCTGAGGACAACTGTTTCTCAATTTCTAGTCTTTACGGTTTAAATCTACCCTTGGGACAGGTGGTAGCTGCATTAGAGACAGCTGTGTGTTGTGCCAAGACCCAGCACTATAGCTAGCTTGCTTTTGAGGGTTTTTCTTACGTATGTATGTGCTCTTTAAAGGCTGTTTATTTTCAAAAATCAATATTTTGAAAGGCAGAGGAAATCCTGTTAAATATTGACTTTTTCTTTAAATGCCAGTTGTGAACCTTCCATCTGCTGATCACTTTCTAGACAGATGCCTGAAATAAGATATTCCCCCTCTCCTACCTCTAAAGTATCCTCCTTGCTTCTTTGCTCCTGCAGCCCTTCCTCCTGCTCTTCACACCAATCTTTGAATTTCTGTTCCCCTACATCCTTATAAAATGCTTAATTTTTACTCTTTCTACCGTTTTACTGAAAGTCTTGCATTTTGTTTTCCTCTTTCCAATTTTTATCAGATACAAACTGCTATATTTGGGGCATTAGCAGGGATAAACTACTCCTGCCAAATAACTAGCAACTAATAGATACAGAAGAACCTATGAAACTGTGCACCAGGCACCACTTTTTTGCTCTGATCTATTTTTAGTGGATCCATTACAATCTGAAGTGCAGGATATGAGCTGCAAACTGAATGCTTGCACAGTACCAACTGCAACTGTTCAAGAACTTAAAAGGCCTCAGAAATGTAACGGTATGGGTATTCATCTCCACACTCTGGTGCTCTTGGTGCTGATCTATCACAAGGAGTGAAGGCTGGGTTTTTCCCTCTTACACGGTTAGGAACAAAAAGGGAAACACTGGGATCAGAACAGAGGGCCACACTGTGATATGCAGTCACATCAGGGCTGGCCTAGGATGAGATCTTTTCAAAACAGCTTCAGCCTCAGCTTTGTCCATCTGTTCTATTGCCTACTTCTGTAACAGGAGGTAGAAGCACCTGTGGGAAGAAGAGTTATCATTATGATGCTTTAAAGCTCTTAAGTCATAGTTTAGCCTGGCCTGGATAGAAGACTGTGGTCTGGCTTAGGTAATTTTGTACTACCTCCAGTAGCATGCCAAGGCAGACCTGGTTCGGAAGGCATTTAGACATATTAATAATGTCTGAGTGGAGAGCAGAGGTGGTTAGACTACTCTGGGGGGATTTGGGCTCCTACCTTGTCTGAAGTGACTTGGGTATCAGGCCGTTCATGTCCATTAGCTTAGAGCTTGCTAAACCGCTTCTGTTGAAATTATTACTCTTTCACATGAATAATTAAATATTTGTTGGATTAAGGACAGGCCACTTTACATAGGTCTAATGTTTATGATATATCTGAATGAGAAGAGTCATATGAAGAGTCTTTCTACCAAGAGAATACTCACTTTCTCTGCAGTACAGAACAAGACCTTTTGCACTTTAGAGCAGAGATGCCTAATCAATCACTTCAGCCTTTTTCTTTTTTTTTAAATATTTCTGTCCAAATTTCCTAGGAATTTTTTTAAATGGGTATTTTCCAGCTCAGTTTCCTCTCTGAAATCTGATCTTAACTATAACTTCATAGCACTACAAGTTGTGATGTTGGCTAAGCAGCTGTACAGTTAAAATTAGGAATATGTTTAGCATTTAATTCCTGATTGTAGATCTAGTTCGGAGTTATGCAGACCTGTATTTAAAAGGGAAATAGAAGTTTTCCAGGGTTTTAGGCATTTGGATACCTTTTAATCTTGTGGCTTCAGATTGTTTGAAAGCATTAGTGTGCAGATAGATTGGGAGGTAGTATTTACAATATGTTAAGATAGCATTAGGAAAGACCAAACACCCTTGTATCAAGACACAAAGAATCTATAAGGTGAGTGTTAAGTTCCTATTTTTATTGACCATGATTCTTATTATGCGTTCAATGGTTGTATCCTCCGTTTGGCCTATGTGAGAACATTCAGCTTTTGGAACGTCCTCCAGGGAACATGGTCTGACTGGGTCCAGAGATGAAAATACTGCGAGCTTTTAAATCAAGCGAGCCACATGAGTGGGTTACAACACAGCCAATGCTGACCCAATTTGGACAGGGTTAGAGTTTGCTGGGTCAGACTAGGCTGCAGGATATCTCTAGAGTCGTAGTGAGTTGCT